ATATATATATATATATATATATATATATATATATATATATATATATTCAGGGTTGGCAAAAAGTCTGGAAACGGTGAAATATCTCGAAAAGAATCAACTGTAGCGAAAAATATGTAAGTAGCAAAGTTGTAGGGCTTAATAAAATATACCTAATAATGGCTAAAAATTTGACTTTGGATGGAGGACTAAGGTCATACGAAAGTCAAATTGAATTTTTTAAATTGGATCCCCACTTTTTACTACATATTCTTGTAGCTTATTTCAAGGGCTTTCCAAAAACCTATAATAAAATATTTTTTTATTAGGCATATTTAGAGTTATGAGGCTTGAAAGGATTTTGGTCTTTAACTGTTTCTGTTTCGTAAAAACGTATCACTGTCTTCTGAAGGGTGGATTTAGAAATAAAATTGCGATTAGGATATGCAACATTGAATGTATAGATCAACTACTTCTTCGTATGATCTAATATAGTCTCCAAATTTTTCATAAAGAAACAGCATTATCTTTTCTTTATCGGTTAACATTTTTGAAAAAGAAATTTGAAATTGTAGTTGGAAAAAGAAAGGGAAAAGACAAAGAGTAAGATGCGAGAGAGCACGACTCGTTTTTAAAATATTAAGATCGAGAAGCGTTATCGTGAAGCGCGGGTATGCGCGAGTTTTGACTGAGTACGTGTGAGATTACGTTGTGAATGAATAATCGCGTTTGGTGAGAGCGAATGAACAACTAAGCCGGTCATATCGTCTAGCTCGAGACACGAAAAAAAAAGTTATTTTTATTTTTCTCCTGTGTTTATGTTTTTTAGGCTCCCAGCCTAGTTACCTAATAATTATATTATTAATTATTGTGTTATTATTATTAATTATTATTATAGTACTAATATTATATAGTACTAATATAATTTATTATTAATAAATAGTTGCTAAAGCGTTTTGCACAATTCACTGTACATAATTATATACATATATATTTATATGTATGCCCTAGTTACAGAATTTGAGAAATCTTATAACCATAATAAAACAAACATAGAACAAACTTTTAAGACAACTATAAGACAAAGAAATATATCTTAACATCGATAAAAAAATGGAGAAAATAAAATTTGCTTACTTTTTCTCGTGAAAGTTTTATGTAATTTCGAGCGTCAATGATTCTGCTCTGCACACAATCACTATATTGGGTTTTCCAGTAGGAAAATCAATATTTCACGAGTTGGAAAAATATAACTCTATCTATATTGGTCAACAATATTATATTGATGGAATCTCTTTCATTATCTTGCCAGTATAAAACATTTGGAGAGTAATTTGGAGAGTATTCACTTTACTCAAAGCGAATGCACATAATTATGAACATTAAGTATTGAGTGTACACTATATATTGAAGAGTTAATAATTCATAATGACACGGTAATTTATAATGACGTCTCGTCTTTTTCCAAAGATATCTAACTGTAATAGGTATTCCAATGAATTCTGATCAGTTGCCTGCTGTGAATGATTTTGTACAGCGATATAATTTAATGTAATATATTAACATTGACAATACTGGCAGCGTTACACTATGTACGGACTGGTTAAAATCTAAGATAAGCGAGATAAACCGTGAAATACATTTATATTATAAATACATTTATATTATGTATCTATGTTAAGCCGCGGAATGTTGCGGCCACACAGTGTGTCTCGCGTCATGACTAGCGAATTGCATTTTCAGTCTCAGCGATTGAGCAAATTACGTTTATGAACAATTAACAACATATTTAAATCAAATCGTAGCGAGCCTTCGCCACGGCGAATTTCCAGGAAAAGAGTGAAAGGGCTTTGCAGTCGTTAAGGTGTCTTTTATCTTTGGGCGCCTGAAAAAAACTGGTCTATATTTAGAACTTCTTTCTGAGAAAACTTTGTACCGTATCAATTAGTATCTTGGTATATTTATTATATAAGAGAATAAAGAAATATTAAAAATATAATTAGTAGTTGAATTTTAACATTTCAAGAAATGCCAGAAAGGATTAAACATTACGGTCAGCCCCTCTCCTCAAAACTCTTCAAATCACACAATTTATTCCTTACACATTATCCTTTAATATAAAAAGAACAACAGAGATATTTTGGAATCTAATAATCTAGTAAGGTGATTTACTTCGCATACTAAATGTGCCAAGCTACGAATTACTATACAAATTACTAAAAATGTTGTAAAAACGTTCAAAAGATATTAAGAAAAAAAATAGTATATCTTCTGGACGTACTTAAATCAACTTTTAATAGATTGTGCTATGTCTACAAATCAATACGTGGGTTTTCCCTAACAATTTTTTGAGTGCAGCCTATTTTTCGAACTCCCAGAGATAAGAAAAAATAAGAAAGCACTTTTAAGTAAGCCAGATTATCATTTAGCATTCGACTACGTTCCATAAACTTCTGCTCTAATCATATATTTGTGTGCCATCCCACGCGCGCGCAGTTCTCGCGCCACTCACTGTCGAGATGAGGAATTTAGTAATAACCGGTTTCGTACGAGATCGTACGATCGTACGAGAAAGGAATCGCTTCGCCATTGGTTGGCACGATCAAGCCCTTGATGACTATCGAGAAAATAAACGTATAAAATGATGTAAGAACGATATCCTAAACTTCCAATGCGAATTCGGCAGCTTTCCTCGGTCGAAATAAGAAAATAGATATCTTTAGGCACCGTGGAACTCGTCGGTACAAAACGATAAAACGCGAAACGATGATGAAACGATGATGAAGGTCAGGACTAGGATCGAATGCAGGATGACGGTACAACAAATGCAGCTCGACTTATCGAATAGAATTGCTGCGGAAGCTGCGTTTTTAGTCTTCCTCGAATCTATGCTAGCTGTAGACGTAACGAGTCTTGGAGAGATCCAGGATGAGAATATATCGAAATCAGATATGTTCTCGTAATAGATGTACTGTTAAGTGTTTCGTAATATTATTACGAAACATCATCCCGTTTATAATCAGCCGAGAAATTCGAAATACTCTCTAAATTTCTTGGAGTAAAATTTCACTCGAAAAGAGAATTAGATTCGTCATTGAATCATTTGAATTGAGTGATTTTTCATTCATACACAAAGAAAGTATTATAGTAAAATTATATTAAAATGATATTCCTTTTTACAATGGTTTTAACAATGCTGGACTATATAGAAAATGAAAACTAAATTATACTATAAAAATATAGCAAATTTGATGATCTACTTGATGTATATAAAAAAGATGTATATAAAAATCATGTAATTACAATAATTTTTCAGTAAAAAAAGACAAACGTATATAAAATTTTGAAATAAATATATAGCAATTTCGATCAATTACAATTTTCTTGTAACTTTTACTACAATATTTTCTCTATGTATGAATAACTCTACTATAAATATACTCTAAATATAGTTGAGTAAACATTTTCATTAGAAATTGAAAAGTAAATCTGTAATCAATTGAGTCATTCACTTATGATTATGAAGTCATAATCTAATTGTAAATTTGAGCGAAACAATTACTATTACGACTTCAAGTAGCAGTATTTTCGTTATTACTTCGAGTACAAATACTGCCATTTTTCGCTCGTTCGGAGATTCTACTTCAAGAAATTTAAAAAATTTTATCTTATAACAGAGCGTTAATCGACATCATTTACTATCATCTAAATTTTTATTAGTTCGTAGCTTATCGTTTTTCCTCATCTTTTCCTATCATCAATGCGATAAAAGATTTTTGTATATTTTTAAGTCCAAATTCCATATGGAGTAAGTTAAAATCGCACTCCTTTAAGGAGGCTCGAGTGTTTGACCAAATGTAATATAATATAATATAATATAATATAATATGTATATAATATATATATATATATATATATAATAAATATAATATAATATATATATATATATATATATATATATGTATATATATATATATGATACAGAAATTAATCGAACTAACTAAAACAATTGTGTATTTTAGTGAAGTACATAACATAAGCATATCTAAATTCACCATTAGGTTAAAGAGATATTTAGATTTTTTGGTGAGAAAACCCGTGAACTCAAGAATATATGAATGGAAACATGGCAACATCATATACATAGTAAATTAGCGCCTGAAATAGTCTTTCAGATAATGTCACTTCTATATCTATTTCTATATTTATTATTCTCATTTTAAGATATCTATGTATCTATATATTAAGACATCTATGCATTTCCAACTCAAATTAAATGATCATTTGTCAAATATAATAACGAATATATATTCGTACTTCTTTACTTTACAGTTGGTATTTACATCAAATGAGTGTTTAACCTTGTATTTTGTTACTTTTAAAATATTTACGTCAGACATTATGAAAGCTGAATCGATCGCAGATAAATGACGTATTAAAACTGCAAATTATAAACATCATCGTTGAAAAGGAAGCGAATCCGACTAACGCGCATAGCGTCTATAAATACGAGCGGATAAATTTCAATAATGATTCAATAATAAAAAAGTGTATATATATATATATATATATATATATATATAAATATATATATATATATATA